ATTAACAGAAGTGCAAGCAAATTACGACCAAAGAAAATATCAGAAGACAGAAGAAAGAAGGAATAGTTCTTGTTTAAGAAAGAAAAAAAGTTGTACTTAGGTAAAATGACAAGAAAAACTAAGAAAAGAGCAATAGCAATTCATTGGAAAGAAGATAAGGACGTAGTCTGGCGATCTTAGTATAGTGGTTAGGTTGCTAGACCATCATGCAAGAGGTCTGGGGTTCAAATCCCACTATCGACGAATTTGAATAATTACCCAGTAGTGTTAGGATCCAGATGACAATTCAGATATCTGAATTAACATCTGTTTTAAAAAATATCCATCTGAATATCCTTCTAAATTAAAATATTAGAATCTGAATATCTATTCGGATTTATCCAGATTTTATATATAAATTTATAATTACATGGTATTCAATTTGGTAATATAGTAATAAAATATTTAGATTATTTAATTCTTACAAGAGTTTTATAAGACTATCGATATGCTATTAGATCCAAGCTGAATTAAATTTTACAGATAACTGGGACAGCTATAAAAATTGGCAGTGATAAACTTTTGATTTGGAGCATGATTAGTAATATAAAACAAACATTTCTACAATATCAACACATTCAATATTAAGTTTTTGCTTAAATGCATGTCCTGTTTAATCTGTACGAAAAATTTATAGCAAATATTTGTTTTTGTCAACTAATAGATTTTAGCAATAAATAGTAATGCAATCCAGTCTGGTCCGATCCTGCGATCTAAAAGGATGGTCCTAGACTTAAATCCTAAAAATCGATCCCAGGATTAGATTCTCTAAATTTTAATCCTCAAATTTATTACCAAAAAATTTTTTTGCTTTTTTTTTCAATTCGAAAAACTGTTTTTGGTCGAAAAATATATAATCTTAACTTTGATAATACTAAATTTTCTACTTAATATAGCGGGGCAAAGGGCAGACCCCAAAATCCCCAGGATCAGATCTCAGGATTTTACAGGGATTTTAATCTGGAAGTCCTATTGTCGGAGACTAATAATACTACCTCCACTCAAAAGAAATAATGCGATAGCGTTGCTAAAAAATCCAAGACGCAGTGTAATATGATACTACTTTTAAAAAGAGGTGAGATTTGATTTGGCACGGGTCAAGGCAGTAGTGAAACATTATGCAAAGGTAAGTGTTTTATTATATTTTATATTTTTTTTATTGTTCTAAAATTCGTATCTGATCTCTTATATGTTGGCAAATTTACATTTCTTTTATAAAACTTTTGAAACTAAAATGAAGGTTTCACTTCGTAAATTTCAATGAAAAACCTTAAAATTTATTATGGTGCTGAGACCCAGCCACGAACTTATCCTAATATAGTTAATTTAACCTATTGACATCTCTATAAGCCGTATTTTGACAATCGGGTTAATTCTCCAACAATGCCTTTTCAGGTTTAACCACGAATTTGCTGATCATTGCTCTTGCAGGATCTTCACATGCGATTTGGGTTCTATTTGGCATGTAAGTCTTTGGATCGGTTCTTGGGCTTCGCGAGTCACTTTGAGGCACGGTTCCTTCTTTTTCTGATATACTGATTTTGCTTCTGACACTATGAAAAAATCAAATTATATCATGTGATTTACAGCTGTTCTCATAAATTCTGGGACAACTGATAAAATTTTGATCGCCAAATTCAGTAAGTTATTAATTTCGGTCGAAATCAATAACTTATAGAATTCAGCGATCAAAATTTTATCAGTTGTTCCAGAATTTATGAGAACAGCTATAAGGACCAAATCTTGACTGATCCCTGTAAAGATTGGGTTAAGATCTGATTCCAAAGGACCAATTAACATCCCTAGCAATAAACATAAAACAGGTTCTGAATATAAGATAAGCTTTCATAATAAATATACTACAAGAGTAGACTATGATCAAGAATGCATTGATTGGATTAAATAAATATAACTCGTTATAATTCCAAACTACCAAGATTTTATTAATATTTGTTGAAAGTACATTATTTTATTTAAAAGTTTTTATATATAATAATTATTACAAAATATAGACTGAAAAAAAACCAGCATGAACATGAATCAGATGAAATTATTAGAATAACTAAAGAACTTTTAGCTTGTTTATCATGTATCAATATACTATATAGATCATTACTGAAATCATATCGAATCGGCAAATATTTATTCGGTCAAATTTTTACAGTTGTCCCAGTTAGAATGAAAACAGCTGTAAGTTCAATTTAAATATTATAAACAGGTGGAAAGAGGATTGTGAAGCTGATAATAATAAATAGAATTTAGTGAACTGTGAAGGCGAGACTACTGAGTATGAAATTATATTAGCAATAGTTGAGTATAAAGTTTTCGACACCTCATCCATATGTTGGATAAGCTAAAGTCTGCTATTATTTAATGAAATTTGTATTTACTATTCTTAGCAATAGCTAATTTGTTATTATAAGTTTATAAACTAAATGGCTTTTGCAAATTTATATAAAAATTAAAAAATACTCAAAAAGCTAGAAGTTTATCACAATTAAAAGAATCTCTAATAAATTACAATAATTGTTGGCTATCAAAGACCCTTATTAAAAAGATGTTCGTGTAGCTACTAATCCTGAAAGTAGCAAACAAAAATATTATTCAAATTGAGCGAATAAAAGTAAAATTGTTGAGTTTAAATATTTAAAAAACTAAGCCTTCTGCTACTGCTGCAACAAAACTAGAGAATTACTCACAATATGCTGAGAATCATAATGATAAGGCTTAGTAATAAACCTATTCTACTAAAAAGTGGCAAAATAAGTTCTAAAGAAATTATTAACAAATAACAGGTCTTTGATAATAAATTAATGCTTTACTTTGTTCTTTTCAATACTAATACAATGAGTCTTCAATGGATATTTTATTAACAATAACTTCTAGTGATATACAGTATGTATACAGGCTGTTGATATGTAATAAGATTAATACTTTACCTTTTCTTTTTTAACACTAATTCCATACTCATAACAATAACTGCAGATCTAGTAACACTTGCAATTTTGTAATGTTTTTGAAGCTTCGATAATGCTTTTAAACTTTTACTAAGCTTCAACTTTTAGTATATGAATTGTTTACATTTTTTATATTTTTTTACATTTCATAAATTATCATTAAACAGCTATTTAAGTTAATTGTAAATATTGTAATTCAATTTAATAATAAGTAAATAATATAACTATAAAATATAATCAATAATAAATTTATAATAAAAAAAACAATTGAAAAATCTATTCTATTCCCTTCTATAAAATATATTTTACTTCTCTTCTAGTAGGCAAACTAAGATTTTATATATATTATTAAATTGAATTTATAAATTTTACTCATTTGTTGGCCAAAAATTTCCCAAATAAGTTGAGTTTCTTTTTAAGAATAACATGCATTCAAACAATAATGGATTTAAATTTACTCGATGGGTACTCATTACAATTCCAGCATTAGAAAATAGACATTCACTTGGTGTCAATATTGCTTGAATAGCTAAATTTTTCCGAGCAAAAATAGATAAGGTAGGAAACTTATTTTTATGTGTAGCCTACCAATTACAAACATCTGATTCTGTATCAATTTCACTGAGCTGAAGGTAATTTTCAACTTCATTGTTATTATCATTTTGAGATGTAGAAATAAATTTTTTTTTAAGAGATTTGGCAGATAATTCTTTATCTAAACTGTAAGATTCCAAAATACTTGTTGTCTGCAAAGTTTCCTGAAAATTTTAACTATGTTTATTATTATATATACATCTTAAAGTATTCTCAACATATTTGCGATCTAAAGAATCTGCGAATTTGAGTTGTTTGTGATGTGGGTCTAACAATGTAGGTAATAAATCATCGTTAACTGGAGAATTCCAGTATGTTTCAAGAGTCTAAATAAATTAAAATATATATATGATAATTGAGGTTTAAAATATAAAAAAGATATAAGGTGAATATAAATAATTTAGAGAATCCTAGTAAAGTAGATAATACTAATAAATTTAACAATATTATATTAATAATCCTCCACTTTACCAATATCCTCCGAATTACTCATATTTATCTTATTATAAACTTATAAAGCCATTCAAAGTTGATTAGTTAGTAATATCAATATTTTGAACTCAAACACAAAGGAGAGATTTAAATGAACATATGTTATACCGTAGGTATTTAAATTTTAAAGGGATTGCTAACAGAAGGATGACATTAACCAACTAATTAACTTTAAATGGCCTAATTATAATAATAATAATTAATACTTTGTATAATGTAGCTTGTACTTTTTTTCCCAAATTATCACAATCTTGTGGAATATTAATATTTAGTTTATTGTTATTCTCTTCATTGATTTCATCATCAAAAGCCGTATTCAAGTCTTCTAAGTTTGGTGAATTATATAATAGAGAATTTTCATTATACAAATCTTGCTTGATATATGATAAGGTAGGATTAATAAATCCAATCATTGATGATTTGCTAGCACCTAAATAAGTTGATGCTTCAGCAAATGGACAAAGAATAATTACTAATTCTTTTATTGCATTCTATTCAGAATTAGTAAGCATTATTTGTTGAAGACGTTTTGATTCTTTTCGTGTTTGAGGATTATTAGATTGTGCAATTGTTACTTTTACCATATTTATTGCATTTTGCAAATGCAAAAGATGTCTTCATGCAAGATACGATGAGTTCCATCTTGTTTCAATATCTTGAATAATACGCAAATACTTATAAGTTTTTCTAAGTATCTAATAAATAAAGAATTTAATTTTAATTAGCTTTATGAATTTTATATTTTATAACTAATTTGTACTAAATACTTTTTACTTTAATAAAAATTCGTACTAAATATTTTTTACTTTAATGAAAATTGTACTAAATACTTTTTACTTTAATAAATAAATAGATTTCATATTAATACCCTAATTTAGCTTCATACTTTAAATAATATACGTAGTTTAATTATAATAGTACAATAGTACTTAAACACGTCATGAAGATACATATTCAACTTCTCTTTCCAAATTTAGTTAATTATTAATTATACTTTAATTTTGCATAATTAAGAATCTGGTTTTTCATACTAGATTTGGACTTTAAGAATTTGCACTTAACCAAATATATAAAACAAACCTTATCTTCTGAATTTAGTAATTTTTTTTGTGTATCGTCAAGTCTTTCTGATTGTTTTAGAGACATAAAAAATGCAAGTAGTCTCTTTGTACGAGCAATAAGGACCTTAGCTGAAATTAAGCCTTTTCCTACAACTAATTGTAATGTATGAGCCATATATTTAACTCGACTAATACCTTGTGCTTCTATTAATTTAAGAGCTTTAACTATATTATAGGCATTATCAGTAGTAATTGTCTTTACTTTATTTGATATATTCCAATTATCCATAATTTTAATTAAGTCATCATAAATATTCTCTGCTGTATGAGGATAAGAACAGAGTGTAATAGCAAGTAAAACTTCGTTTAACTTAAAATCCTGATCAATTTAATGACAAGTGACGCCAAGATATGCTTCACGGTTTCTACTAGTCCAAAGATCACATATAAGTGAACATGAAATTGCAGTATCTTTTAACTTTTGTTTTAAAATATTAAAAGAAAAATTATAAGCTATATATATCATTGATTTAATAGCTTTACGAGTAGGCAGTTCATAATAAGGATCCAAGTTAGCAATAAATACTTTAAATTTTTCTGATTCCACAATACTTAATGCTTGTGCACTATCAATAATCCATTCAACTAAAGATTGATTTTGTTTTATTTGGCACTTTAAATTATTAGCTAAAGTTTTAAACATAACATTAATTTTTGATTAATCTTTTGATTTAAAATTTAAATCTTTAGTAATGCCATGTATACTTGAAAGATGATCTCACATATTTCCTGTTGATCCACCTGTATTACAAATCATATTACAAGTTTGCTTTTAACGATTTTGAATAACCTCTAATGGATACCATTCAACACGATTTCCAGTTGCAATATGCTCTAAAGGTTGAAAGTAATTCCAAACTTGACTGCCTAACTTGCTTGCACTTGCTTTTGATAAGGATCTATATCCGTCTGGAATAGATTTAGAATTTTGAGATAAATTTTCACTAGTATCTGATTTACTTTCTTCATTATCAGATATAGTTTCAGTACTTTCATTGTTTGAATACTCAGTGAGTTCCAAAGATTGAGAATATTCAGTATTTGATCTTTTTTGACTTTTTACAATTTTTTGCTTTTTATTAGATTTCATTTTTTTTTTCACTGTATAATTTTTTTTTACTATCAGTGACAGATCATGACAGATCTCTTTTATACAGTATTTGACTACTAAAATTACCTCATCTATACTTAATTTAAAAGCTTAAAAATATAAATTGATTTACAAATTGATTTACATTATATATTTTAATTTGGTTTCACTCTAATATAGCTGCATTTATAAATAAATTAGTTTCAAACTGTAATTTCATGTTTAAATTTAAATTATTAATAATCTGATTTAACACTTTATACTCATAAATAAATGAGTTTTATTTTATAAATAAATTGAGTTCATACTCTATAAATTATAGTGTGCTATAGGTTTACATATAAATAATAATTTATACTATAAATTCAAATTTTACTAATATAAATAATTTGGTTCGTAAGTATATAGTTTTACTCTAATACAGTTGGTTTCTCATTTATAAAATATACAAATTCATATATTCACACTCCTGTTTCAACTGTGCATTATGTATAAATAATTTAAAAAGCCTGCAGATGTTAACTAAATTCTGCTATTACGATATATTAAAAATTTTTACTTTTCTATATAGGTTAGTTTTGGAAGAATATAAAAAATATAGTTAATATACGATTGAAGTTATAAACATATACTAGGAGTTAAACCCTTCAACTAAGTTAATAAATTTTGGTTTGAAACAAGAGAGAAGGTTAGAATCACTATGCCAAATTGAATGTTTATAAACAGCAAGTTCCTGATTTTAATAAAAAACAATTCTTTCTTGCAGATATTTGTATTAGTGTATATACTTATACTCTAAAATAGTTTATCTTCGTATTAAAAAGAAACATACTAAATAAGAGTATACACTCTTCAAACTTGATATCTCCTAAGAAAAACTAAATAGAGACTTATTAGTTAATTGCTTAGTTGTAATGTTTTTTAGTATTAAATATTTTTGTAACGTTTTGTTATTAACAAATATTTTTGTTCTGAAAAAGCTGACCAAATTATTTAGCTACGGAAGACTTGTCATTTAATATATACCTTTATAGTAATTGTTATGATCAATCTATGATCCTAGGTGGGATTTTCTGCAGAAATTATAAAATTAGTATGCAACACATAAACAACAGTGATGATGCAATTATTTGAAAAATAAAATTACAATCTGATACTATTACTAGTAAATTATAATATCTTTTATATATAAATTATTATTCTAAAACGTTCTGTTATAGATGAGTATGCGAGGGAGAAAGCCTGTAAATAAAATTTTATCTCCTGATAAATTGTGTTATTATATAATTAATCACGTAACTATCAGTATTCTAGTCATTTTGATAATATTATGATCGAAATGACTAGAATACTAATTGTTATAATACATAATATCACAATTCATTAGGTGATAAAATTTTACTTATAGGTTTTCTCCTCATGCATCCAGAACTTAAAATAAGAATGTGATTGAGTAAAAAACTTTTTTTATTATATGTACATAATTTTAATTTATTCATTCACAAATTAGCCAGTAACTTTATATACTGAATTTCTACTTTTTATACGACAGCAGAGACTACATCTTTTGTAAAGTGCAATAATTGCAATTATTTCATCATTACAGCAGTTTTTATTCTAATTGAGACAGCCAATAAAAAATTAACCAAATAATTATATACTGGCTCATTATATTTTTAATTCAGTATGATAAGCTTTTGATTTTGAAAATCAAAAGCTTATCATATCGAATCAAAAACATAACGCGCCAGTATATAATTATTTGGTTAATTTTTTATTGGCTGTCTCAATTAGAATGAAAACTGGTTACAATTATTTTTATAATAATTTTTAATTAATAGTATTGGAGTTATATAGGAAGAAGCAATTAATTTTTTGATACTAACGATATTATATAACCATTCAGATGATCATCCGAATAGTCATCCGATACTTTAATGAGCATCCGAATTTAGCATCCACAAATTAAATTAAATATCCGGATATTTAGATGATCTGCGGATATCCAGATGTTTAATTAAACAGATCCCAACACTATTACCCAGACTTTTGTACCCAACTTACAGTAAACTCTGCTCATTTCTGGGGGTTACAACCCTGTAAATCACATTGCACCAATATCAATCAGACATTGGGAGTGTGATACAATACTTGAGTTACGTTATGCGAATAAATCTTAATAGGATCTACGAGCAGAGGACCTGCATAGTAGAAATCCTAAGTTTGGTGAAGTAGTACAGATTTCAATGGTCAAGCCAGTTAATACCTGATCTAGTGAAAAACCTGAGTACGAAGGATGTAAGATCGATAGATACGAGTAAGTCTGCTGTGTAATACAGCCTGGTGCCTTGCATTAGCAGCAACACCAACTTGGCTTGGCAGTTAACTAGATTAGGAGGATCTACTTTGTGAAACATCTGGCTGGAACTTGGAGGACTATATCTGGTAGACGGCCACAGCAGGAACTGGGTTTGTACAAACATCGACAAGGGTTTAATTCAGGTGAATCTGTGAAATGAGTACATGACTACTCTGATAAGAATTACTTCTAAGGTTAACTGGAGCTCTGTGGCTCACAATATGTTAGGTATACATATCCCGAGAGGACCTAAGCTGTGCAGAGAAATAGATCCGCAGGTGAACCAGCTGACGTCAGCAGTTGGTCATAGTGGTGATGTTAGTTTGGAATAGGAGGAAGGGTTAATGATCAAGTATTTAAATAGGTAATTCACAGGTAGGTTGTAGATATGGCAGCATAGTGTAGAAACAACAGATGGTCGATCATCTGTATGGCGGACTACTTAAATTAGACAATGACTAAAGTTGTACATGTAGCTTGTTGTACACTCATCATGTAACTATAAAATTTTAGAAAACTATTCATGTGATAGTTCCGTAATAACAAACTAATAAAAATCTAATCGGCCAAGGAAGTGGCCTTAATAACAAA